CAGATGAACAAATAAGGCTTAGTTGTATGTGGGAATACTGAGCAATCAAAAGGAATCATCGTTAACAGAACATAGATTAATTGGTCCCACAATCAGATTTCCATAGCAAGGTAAAAATAATTATGAGCCTAATATTTTACTTGTTGAAAATAACTAGATTTTTTAAACGTCTCCGCCCCCGCCCCCCCGCTTTTTTTCCCTCTTACCCTGTTTCAATACCCAGGTGACTTGGCATGAAATCGCAAGGCCTCAGATCCATGGCTATGACATGAAATGTTTAGCCATGATTAGCCGGTTCCAGTTTGTATCTGGAGCAGATGAAAAGGTTCTTCGAGTTTTTTCTGCACCACGGAATTTTGTGGAAAATTTTTGTGCCATTACAGACCAATCACTGAATCGCATACTTTGTAATGTGAGTATTCCTCTGCTTTAATTCAATCTAGTTTCTTTGCTGCATTTTTAAAAACTTTGACTTTGGATTGTAAATGGAATGAATGGGTATAAAGAAAGTCCAGTAGGTAACCACTGGCTTAACAAACTTTTGTGTGTGCTGTGACATGTGGTAACTAACATTTTAAAATCAGAAATGTGTAGAGTAAACTAGGCCAAGATGCTGTAACCCAACAAATCCAGTGCCATTCCAATTCATAGTGGTCCTGTAGCACAGAGTATAAAGCACTCTTTCACGTTTCTGAGACTGCAGGTCTGTGGGATCAGGCAGCCTCATACATCCTCTGAGGAGCGGTCGATGGAGAGTACATGTATGCCAGAAGATAGGTAAACCAGCAGCCGTCTGGGTGCAACTGGAGAGAAAATAGTGGTTTGAAAGTAATGTCATGAATTGAACTTAAATTCCCGGGGTATCTACCGAGCACTTGAACCTCCACACAGCTCTAAGACTAATCTACGCTGTCCTCTGGTAGTGGACATTCGGGATGGGATCAGTGTGTATATGTTCTTGTTAGATGCCGTGAAGTCTGTTTTTGTCTCCCAGTAACTGATTCCAGGTGGCAGAGTAGCATACTCTACCCACGTAGGCTTTTCTTGGCTGTATGTGGATCGCCTGGTCTCCCTCCCATGGAGCAACTGGCTGGATTCAAGCCATGAAGCTTTCAGGCTAGCAGCCAGAGCTTTCCCAGTGACCTCACCAGGGCTCCCTGCTTACACATGGAGACAGAGCTAAGCATGTGGGGCAAGATGCCATTAGTTTTAGGATCTCTCTGTTCTAGAGATTAAAATACGATGTTAGGATCAAAAGGTGGCTTTGTCCCAGGTACACCTCCATTCTGAGTCTTAAAATAAAGGAATCCTATAGGCTGGGAAACTGCTTGCGTATTTTAGGTTTGACTTCTATCCTGAGGGATAGGCATGTAGGAATGCTGCTGCTTGCTGTTCTTGATAGTCGCTGATTCTCTTTGCTCATGTACCTGTCCATGTGTTCAATAAAGCCACGTTGCAGGAAACACTCAGTATTTGGGCATAATCAGTATTACTACTCCAGATGAAATTTGTAATAGAAATTATTTAAATGTATTTC